AAACCCAGCACCTCCTGCTCCGGGGATGTGACAGGAGGAAACAAACAACATAGAGAAAGCGCCTCTCACTGAGGAGCAGTTCCGCCTGGGGGTCTGGGAGGTGGTGGGGAGGCAAGGACGGTGGCGAGAGGGTGGCGGAGAGCGAGCTGCTGTGGGGAGCCAGAGCCAGGCCAGTGCCCGCAGGGGGAGGTGCAGCATGAGGCCTGGGTGGGAGGTGGGGCTGCTCCGAGTCTCTGGGGGGGGGGGGGTGGTTCCCAGGACAGCTGTTCCCTCAGGGCCCAGGCACCTGCTGGGGGCTTTGGGGGCCCGATTCCACGTTTCATGGGAAGTCATACCTTACACAAGCCCCGGCCAGGGCCCCAACGGGTAGGCGGTTGGCGTTCCCGCGGGTCCTCTGGGAGGTGGCCTTTGGGTGGACAGTGTGTGGGGGCATTGCCATTATTGAGTGATCTCACTGTGATGTCAGGAACAGGGTTACTGGAGCAAGCCCTCCATTCTACAGGCTTTGGGGACCCAAAGGCAAACGTGATCCCTATGGAGCCTCAAGAAGCTTAAGCTAAACTGTCCTTGACCTTCCACGTGTGGGTTGAAGGCACACATGGCTGTGATCACCTGAGCTCACTGTTAGACACGGCGGGGAGGAGGGCACCCCTGCCCCTCATCAGGTGGGAGCCAAACCACCAAGACCAGCGGGGGTCAGAGACCAGCCCCGTCCCTGAGGCTGCTCACTCCGAGGGAGGGAATGAGGTCCAAGCATTTGGCTCAGAAAGACCGAGAAAAGCTCTTTTTAAAGTCCCTCCCGTGCCAGGTGGACGGTGTGCGCAGCGAGGACAGGGACTCACAGAAGGTTCCTCCGGCAGAAATCACCGGTGTGCTCTCCGGGGCGCGCCTTCCCGCAGCACCGCCCGGAAGAGGAGGAGGAACGCGGCCTGGGAGTCGCACCGGACCTCACGCCTCTGCTGACTGTCTGTCCCCATCAGAGACGGGGCTCCTTGTAGAAGCAGCAAGAGTGGAGTCTGGACCCAGCTCCGCCGGCCTCTCACAGGGCGAGGGGCTCTGGGAACGGCCCTGGGTCACCTTGTCCTGCACCTGGTGGCGCCTGGACACAGGAGGCCATCCCTAAGGAGAAGTCCATCCTTCAGAACACGTAACAATGTAACAAAATGTGGTCTCCAGCTCTTCTTCCTGAACCACACGGGGAGCGCGTGAGAGTTCCACAGCGTCCACGCCCGCATCGCCTCAGCTGGGAACACCCCTCGCCCCTCTGCTCCCATGGCCACAGCTTCCCTAGAGCCACAGCCTGTCCTGACCTTCCACGGGCCTCAGGTGGGCGGCCTCCTTTCAGACGTCAGCCTGCCCCTCTCCACCCCGCAGACACGCTCACCTCTCGTTCACGCTTTTAAAAGAATTCTCAGCGGCACCACAGCTCAAGTCAGCGTATCACTGCTCTCCTCCAGTCGCCCCAAACTTCCCGAAAGACTGGTCCTCACATATTGCTTCAACGTCCTCCACTTCCACTCACTAGCAAATTCCTTACACTTGGAGTTCTCACCCGCACGTCGCAGAAATCGTCACCTTCACGTCATCCTCTTGGTCCACGAGCTGGAATAAGCCCCCAAAGTCCCTCCTCTTCCTCCACTGCCTCCGGCCTCGGCTCAGGATCCCCGGTGCCTTAGCTGGGCCCTCCCCTGCCCCCCAGGTTCTGGCCATGACACAGCACAAACCTGGGCAGAGTCCGGAACCCGGGGCAGGACCTCTGGGAGAACGCTCGGCCACAGGAGGCAATTCCACAAAACGTAAAATCCCAGATGGAATGGAAGGCCATGGACACCTCAGGGTCACGGAAGACAAAGTTTAAAGAGACAAAGGAGGGAATTCTGATAGTGAGTCTGCACAGCCTGGGCACAAACATGTCATGGTCGTCATCCCCTTAAGCTCCACTTTGCAAAAGGCACCCAGCTGCGAGGTTTTAAGGACGCTGCTTAGAGTTAGTGGCAGAGCTATTGCTCGAAGGAGTCCTTTCTGTCTCTGGTCTGTGCTCATAACCACGGTGTCACACTGCCCTCCTGGAAGGCTAGCGACATCTGCATGTTTTTACAATGTAAGGCACAGCGATTCCACTCCTTGGGTATTTATGCAAAGAAACCCAAAACACAAATTCAAGAAGATACTCGCACCCATATGTTCACTGCAGCATTGTTAACACTATGGAAGCACCCCAAGTGCCATCGACAGGCAGCTGGATGAAGAAATGGTGCATGTCCCCAACGGAACATGCCTCGGCCTAAAAGGAATGAAATCTCACCGTTTGGAACAGCGTGGGCGGACCTAGAGGGCGTTACGCTAAGGAAATAAGTCAGCAGGGCAAGACAGATGCCATATGATTTCACTTATATGTGGAATCTAAAAAGCAAAATAAATGAACAAACAAAAGATAAAAAGACTCATAAATACAGAGAACAGACTGATAGTTGCCGGGGGGCGAGGAGGGGGGCTGGGTGAAAGGGTGAAGGGATTGAGAAGTACGGATTGGCAGTTACAGAACAGTCACAGGGACATCAAGTACCACACAGGGAATATAGTAAAAATATCGCAGTAACTATGTACGGTGCCAGGTGGGTGCTGGAAATATCAGGGGGGGCACTTCGTAAGGCGGATGATTGCCTAACAGTATGCTGTACACCTGAAACCAACACAAAATAATATTGAATGTCAAGTGTAATTGGGGGAAGATAACGTATCAAATGCAAAAAAAAAAAAAAAGTTAAGGCAATAAAGCAGCACGTTATCTTCATAAAACTGGGACAAGGATAGTTATTCAAATAGGTCCAGTAGAAATCTAAGAAATTAAATTTACAGCTCTCTAAATTTTAAGAAAGTGAACACCTCACGTTAAGGGTAAAGGGTAGAATTGCCACAGCTGAATTCAGAATCAGTGACCTGGCAGGTAACATTGAGAAAACCCTATTGAATGTCACTCAGAAGCTTAAAGATATGAAAAACATCAAGTGAAGGCAGGAAATGGTTCAGAAAGTGGCTCAGCCTGGCCCACTGGAAGCTCCGAGAGAGAACAGAGACCTGAGAAATGAAGCCTCGTCCAAAAATCTCGCCGAAGAAAGACCCTGGCAGGGTTAGAAACCAAGACACAAGAGGCCCTTTCTACTCATTGGAGGAAACCCCAAGGGGTCCCAGAGAGACCTCACCCCCAGCAGCCACGGCCCACGGACAGTTAGCAAATCACAGATGCGAGAAAGCGGTAAATCACACTGCTCAGCGAACAGGCACTGAATTCTGCAACTAAGACTTTGCAACCAGCAGAGTCTTTTTTTTAGAAATACAATGATTTGTGAAGCCCACACCCACAGGTCCTCTCAGAAAGAAACACTGAAACAAGAGGGAAAATAAACGGAGACATCAGTGGGAGACAGAGAGTGCCAGAGGTTCACCTCCCAGGGGCGAGGACGAGCTCCGCGGACCAGCCCTGAGACAGTGAGAAAGGAACAGTGAGTTACTGTTGTGCGGGCGGTTTTCTTTAGCAGCAGGAGGAGGAGGTAGTGTGGGAGCTCAGCTTTTGTTTTATCAGGGGCCAGGAGAGAGTTACTAAGTAAAGTTTAGACTTAAAATGAATTTAATAAGCATATTAAAATGTATGGGTAGCCATTAAAATAATAGGATACGTACCCATCAAATGAGTCAAGCCTAATAAAAAGGAGTAAATAAACTTCATGTTTAGAAAAAGGATAAAAAATGTTCACGCAGAGTATAACCACATGCCTGATCAACAAATGGAAAAGGAATTACACTTACCAATTATGAAGGGACATAGACTATTGGATTTGAAACATGGAGATACGTTTTTTAATTAAAAAAAATACCCAGAAATTACTAACATTGGCCACTACTAATCAAAACAAGTGAGGTAGAAATATTCATATCAGACAAGATAGATTTGTGAGCAAAATTCATTGAAAGGACAATCATAGGTATTAGATACAGATTCTTAGAAAGCCTACTCAGTTAAAAGGTACAAAGATCATGACCTTGTAGGGACCTAACAATAAAGCTTCAAAATGTACAAAGCAAATACTGTCCCAGTGACTAGAACTTGAAAAATCATCCCACATTGGGAATATTAAGGAATTTCCATCAGTAACTGATACACAGAAATAGTCACCGTAGCTACAGATGTGCAGGGCCATGCCTGCCCCAACAGAAAGACATACATGTCCACGCACATAAGGGATATTTACCAAAAACACAGCAAATTTATTTCAACAGAACGTAAAATTTCCAGACCACGTTATCTCAACTGTAATGCAATTAAATGCAGGTTCACAGTGAAAAGTCTTCCTTTAAAAATTACACTTCTCGGAAGAAAACTACAAAGACAAACCCCTAGATCGCTTAGTCATGGGTGGTTCTCAACCTTCCTACTGCCGCGACCCTTTAATACAGTTCCTCATGTTGTGGTGACCCCCAATTTCATTGTTACAAATTGAACATCATTAAAGCATAGTGATTAATCACAAAACAATATGTAATTATATATGTGTTTTCCGATGGTCTTAGGCGACCCCTGTGAAAGGGTGGTTCGACCCCCAAAGGGGTCGCGACCCACAGGTTGAGAACCGCTGGGTTAGCAGGTACTATAAGGAAATAGCAGGGAGGTGTCCAGGTGTTGCTGCCTTAGTCTACGTTTTTATCCTTCATCCCCGGGATCGTGGGATCTGTGTCCACGGGGCCCTTGAGGTCCTGCCAGGGCGCGACCTGGATGGACCTGAGGCGCTTCCTCACTGCTTCACGCCGAGGCCGCAGCTGCGGGGGCTCCAGACCCCGTGGAACAGGGGACCCTGCTGCGGATCCGCAGCCCGGGGTCTGCAGGCCGCCTGGCCCCGCCCCGCCCCGCCCCCTAGCCCCGCCCCGCCCCGCCCCTGCGGGCTCTGGATTGGCCACCAGCCCCGCCGGCGCCGGGGCCCCTTAGAGTCGAGAGGGAGCCGGCCCAGACACTCCCGAAGTGAAGTTCCTTCGCAGACGCATCTGCTGAGACTGTGCTCACAGCGAAGAGCCCGCCGGCAACATGTGCAAAGGACTGGCCCGCCCTGCCCCACTCCTGCCTGGAAAGGTGAGCTGGCTCCGGCTCAAGCGCGGAGATAGGGCATCTGCTGGGGAGGCACCCAGAGCCCTGGGGGTGGGGGGGGAGCAGGTGGACGGGGAGATAGGGCGTCTGCTGGGGAGGCACCCAGAGCCCTGGGGGTGGGGGGGGGGCAGGTGGACGGTGCTTGGTGCAGGGGCAGCTGTCTCCGCTGTGAGCGGGCGAGGGCTGGAGAGAGCGGAGCCAGGACAGGGACACCCGGGGACCCTGTGCCCTGGAGCATCTGCTGTGCGTTCAAGGTCCAGCAGGACTCACACCGCACTGCCCGGCTCCAAGCCTGGCTCCCCCATGCCCTCCGAGTGAATCGGGCAGCTCCCTTCGTCTCTCTCCGTCTCAGTTTCCCTCTCGGTAAAAGGGAGCCAAGCTGCCTGCCTGGTCTGGGTGTGAGGGTTGGTGACTGGAAAGGCAACACCACCTGCGCCCCGTGACCGTGACCGTGACCGTCCGCGTTCGCCAGGTTGGGGGGCGGGGGGCAGGGGCTTGCGTGGCCCAGGCCTTTGACTCTCCATAGAAGGAAGCAGCAGGGCTGCGGACAGAAGGCGCTGGCCATGGAGGTCATTTATCGGCTGCCATTCTTGGCAGATGGAGACGCCTGTGAGCCCCCTGGCTCCCTTAAGCTGGACAGTTTTCTGGGGGATCGTACGTGTCTGGGCGCAGCAGTTAGAGCACCTGTCTGACTTGTTGGAAAATTTAACCCACTGTCCTGGCCGATGCAGACAGGAGGGCGTTTCTCAGGAGTGGGTCTGAGTAAGGAGGGCCAACCTCCGTTTCTTGAAGGGAACCAGGTGATCCCTGTGCGCCCGAGTCGCCCCTGGGCGCTGGCTAGGAAGGCCCTGCAGTCCAGGGGGCCGCTGGGACTTCTTGTCTCTCAGCTCAAGCCTTCTTTTTGATGACTTTTACCCTAGAAATAATCTCCAGATGCTGTTTAAAGAGAAGCATTATAGCAAAGGGCTTGTCCCCAACGACACTGGGACTGGAATGAAACCTGCTCTTACTTGCTGTTGTCAGAAGCACAGATTATGATTAAAGAGATTCATGCAACAGTAACGAGCTGCCATGGTAGATAGGTTGTAAGCAGGGGTGGTGCTGGCCAGGTGTCAGTGCTGGCGGCTGTCGGTGCCCGCCTGTCCCTCTCTCTAGAGAGGCGGGGACAGGAGAACACGGGCAGGTGAGGGAGGCGCCCAAGTTCCCTGAATATGAGATGATGCCTCGTTAGTTCCTTTTCTATTTTTGCAAATCTGAGAATCGCAACCTGCCTGTCACAACTTTAAACAGATCTAGAGCCCACTTGTTTGAAATCCTTCCGTACTTTCCTGTAGTGGCTAGAGCGCCCCGTATTGTTTGGGGAGCGGTCGGCTCTGGAGTGGTTGGGACATCGGTGTGCCGGGCGTTGTGTGGGCCGTGGCGCCCGCCTGGCGTTTGGTCTGTCACCGGCAGCTGCCTGCAGACGGTTGGCCGTGGTACTGATGTCGCCTTGATGTTCTTGTCAGCATGCACCGCGCTCCCCGGGCCGTGCGGACAGAACGCTTCCCGCACTGACCCGCTCACCTCACGTCTGATTCACTCAACATTCAGTACCGCTTCTTGTCCCTCTTAGTGCACAGTCCGCTCTGAGTCCAGGACATGACTAACGCTCACGCAGGACCTGTGGAGGCGAGAGGAGAAGCGCCTTTGGCACGGGCCTCCGGAACCTTTCGATTCTCTGCCATCACTGTCCCAGTCCTTGAATGTCTTTTTCAGCATCTGGTACCATTGTAAATGGAGTCACCGTTCCGATCGCAGTGCTGCCTGAGTGGGGCTGGCAAACATGGAGGTGGTGAGCCTTTAGCACACGGTACTCCTGGAGAGAACCCGAGACCGAGTATCCTAACGGGAAGGCCACATTTGAATTAATGCTTCCCAACCAACCTGCCTCTCCTGGCTCCGCTCTCCGCCTCCCCGCCCCACACCCCCATGCTCCCACCTTTCATTCCTTCTCTCGAAGGGAACACGGTGAGGCTCCGTGCTTACAGGCATTTACATGAGCCAAATCAGGACAGCGTACGTGCATTACAAAACCGCCTGTTTTTAATGGCAAGCTCCATGAAGCGTTCAACTGGGAGCTCTCCATTGCCTTGGAAATAGAATTCGCTTACAAAGCCCGAGTACCTCGTCATTCGTCACAGTGGAAAGCGCTGGTGAGGAGCAGACTGACGGGCTCAGTTTGGTCACGACCTGAATTTGCACCCTCGGGCCAGTTATTCTCTCCCAGGATTCTGTTTCCTGATGCAGCAAAGGAAAGCTTGGTCACTTGTTCACTAATGTCCTTTCCAATTCTCGATTCACTTATTTTTTTAAATATTTTTGTTGATGTCAGAGAGGAAGGGAGAGGGAGAGATAGAGACATCAAAGATGAGAAAGAATCACAGACCGGTTGCCTCCTGCTTGCCCTCCACTGGGGATCAAGCCCGCAACCCAGGTATGTGCCCTGATGGGGAATTGACCGTGACCTCCTGGTTCCTAGGTTGACACTCAACACTGAGCCACACCGGTCGGGCAATTCTAACTTCATTTAAATAAAGTGAGAAACACCCAGTGACTGGCAAGAGATGTTATTAAAGGGACATTTTCCTAAATAATTTCTCTCTAAAAGTTTTGGAGCAGAAAAGAGTCGATGAACGAAAAATGGCCAAGAACCACCTGGTGCTGCCGTCTTGGCTGTAGCCGCAGGGACTCCGATGTTGATGGACAGGGGTGGGTCTCACTGCTGTGGGGGGCTGTAGCCTGCAGGACCCTCCCGTCCTGGCGCGTGGAGAAGCGCCAACCCCCAGTCAGCCCTGGCGTATTTATGGAAATGATTCTTTCTTTACACATTTAGATTTTTGAGACTATTGCCTATTTAAAGTCAACGTTGAACTCACATATTTGTAAATATTTAAAGAGTCCAAGCATGTGAGCCACCAGGGCCACCCCCAGCTGCTCCCTGTGGCGCACTGGGACGTGTGCTGGGGGAGGACGGAGTTGGGGGAGCTGAAGTCTCCCTTTCCCAGGGACTTTCAGCTTCGGACTTAGCCTTCTTTTGAACATTCATTTTATTTCCAGAGTCTCTTGAATTTCTCTGAAGAAGTTTAATTTCTAAAGTGAACGTTGCTCTTGGGGAAAAGATGAGAGTGTCCCCCAAAATGTACCCATAACATGCAGTGGCGGGTGCCTATGGCTGCCTTTGTCCTCGCCTGTGGACAAGTCCTCTGCCAGTTCAGTCTCAGCCCACAGGGCGGTGAAGGATAACGAAGACACAGCTCCGGACAAAGGATGTCCCCGGGATGCTGACGGAGGGCCACCCCCTCCACCTGTGCAGGTGGCACCACAGAGGCTGCTGGTGTGGGTGCTTTGGTCCCCGGTGCACCCGGGCCTCTGCTGGGTCGAGTGCGGTGACCTGGGGAGAGTCGGGAGCTGCGCACAGTGAAGGGGCAGGTGACGCTGCTCCCTCGTTTCACTAAACGTTCGTTTCCCTCTTCACTGACGTCTGCGGTCTAACGTGGACGGTCTGGACCCGAGAAGGGCCTGTCAGCAGGACCACTCCTCACGGAACCTTCTTTTCAGAGGCGCCAAGGCTCCTGGGCTGTGGGGCTGGACACATTGCTTTCTCTGCAGCACGAGCGAGTCCTGCAGGCAGCTGAGCTGAGTTAAAGGCTGTGGCCATGAACTGGGGCCAAGGAAAGGTCATGCGGACAGACCCGGGGTCACCTGAAGCGCAGGCCCGAGAGAGTGGCAAAGTCTAGCTGGGTTTCGTCACCCTTTCGGGAGCAGTGAGTGTGAGGCGGGCAGCAGCCGGGGGAGCCTTGCCGTAGGACAGTGCAGATATTTCAGTGCCACTGTATCATGTGCAGAGCGTGGTGGGCTGCTTAATGAAATGGGGGGGGGGCGGAGTCACTGAGAAAACCTTTGTTTCCATCCTTATTGATGAAACGGCGTTGATGATTTTCCTGGCTCGCCTTTCAAACCTTCACACCTGCCTTAGCTATGAGGGCAGAAGGCCCTGCAAGGACATGTCGGCCAGTTTGGGAAAAAAAGAAGAACTCTGCCCTCTGTGTTGGGATCCCTGTGAAGGAGTAAAGGCTCCCAGTGCTAAGAAAGCGGGGGGGGGGACCTCATGGGGCTCAGGGAGCTTTTGGTTCAGGGAGAACTCTGCCCGAGTTACAGGGGGTGATGCCTGCCTAAGGCTCACGATGGCCCCAAACAGGCCGGGCAGTCAGCCAGGTCCGGCCCGAAAGAGGGAGCGAATCCGGCAAGGCAGCCGTGTGCAGATGGGGGCGGGGGGGCTGCCCAGCGTGGGGTGCTGCTCAGCATCTTTGCACAATCCATACTCTCTCCCCAGCCCCCGGGGGTCGCTGGCTTCCCCATCGCCGGTCCCTCCGGGACACCTGTCGGCCCAGACCGCAGGCACAGCTCAAGAGTCAAGAGAGGTGCTCAGGGGAAAGAGTTTTATTGCCTAAAAAATGAAATTATCCAGAAGCCAGCCTGTGCCTGGCACGCAGTAGGCACTGAATAATCCAGGATGGCAGGCCTGCAGCTGTTGGCGGACGTCAGCAAACTGAACTGCTGTTTCTCACCAGCCCTGGACACGCGGCCCCTGTCACGCGGCCCCTGACACATGGCCCATGACACGCGGCCCCTGACACGCGGCCCCTAACACGCGGCCCCTGACATGCAGCCCCAGTCATGTGGCCCCTGTCACGCGGCCCCTGTCACACGGCCCCTGACACACAGCCCCTATCACGCAGCCCCTATCACGCAGTCCCAGTCACATGGCCCCTGACACGCAGCCCCTGTGTCCTCACCTTTCTTCTAGGCCTGTGGTCCGGGCGGGGCCTGTGTTCTGGGCTGGGCTGAATCCCAGATCCCCACTCAGAACCCTGAGATCCCAGAGCCCAGGCCTGGCAGCCCCGGGAAGGCCCTCTGCTTTGCTTTTCCTTAGCGAGCACTGCGCA